TGTTGGGCCATGAACAAATGTCCTGCTGCGGCTATGGCAAAGGAACTTTTAGTCCCAGCACTGGTGAGGCAGACCTCTGTGAGTTCCAGGCCAGCCAGGCTATATAGTTGCAACTCTGTCTCAAATAAATAAATAACAAAAAATACAGGCATTGTGGTGCTTGTAACCCAGTGATGAAGAAGCAGAGAGGCAGATATCGGGGCTTGATATCCAACCTAGCTTAATTGGAGAGCAGAAGGTTCAGTAAGAGAGTCTTAAAAACCATGGGAGTATAGCGCTTGGGAGGCAGAGGCAGGCGGATCTCTGAGTAAAAGGCCAGCCTGGTCAACAGATTGATTTCCAGGACAGCTAGAGCTACACAGAGAAACCCAGTCTCAAAAAGGGGAGGAGGGATGACTGAAAAAGACAGAAGTTGACCTCTGACCTCCAAACACACAAACACGCATAAAAAGATTGTGCCTCAAAGGATGACATGAAAAATAAATAAGCAAATAAACAAATAAATAAGCCATGGTCAGCATGGAGACTCACAAAGGTAATCCTATATCATATAAGAGGTGGAGACAGGGGGGCTGGAGAGAAGGCTCAGAGGTTGCTCTTCCAGAGGGCCTGGGTTCAGTTCCCAGCACCCACATGGCAGTTCACAGCTCTTTGTAACCCCAGTTCCAGGGTACCCAATACCCTCACACAGACACACATGCAGACAAAACACCAATGCACATAAAATTAAAATAAATAAATTATTTTTAAAAAAAAGAGGTGAAGACAGGAGGATCAGGTGTTCCAGGTCTGCTTCAGCTACATAGCAAGTTCAAAGCCAGCCTGTGCAACATAAGGTCCTATCTCAATTAAAAAAAAAAAAAAAGTAAGAAGATGATTCACAGAATGGGAGAGAAGTTTTGTAAACATACTGGAAAGGGAATTATATCTGAGAATTACATAGGATTCTGACAGCTCAACACTGAAAAGAGACAAATAGCTCAATTGAAAAATGGACAGATGGGGGCTGGAGAGATGGCTCAGAAGTTAAGAGCACTGGCTGCACTTCCAGAGGATTTGGGTTCAATTCCCAGTATCCACATGGCAGCTCAAAACTGGTTGTAATTTTAGCTCCAAGAATCACACAGCCACTTCTGATGTCTGGGTCACCAGGAATACATGTAGTGCACATGTATACATGCAGGCAAAGTACCCAAACACATAAAATATTAAAATGAAAAAAAAAAGTTTCCATGGATGTGATATAAACAAACATTTCTCCAGAGAAGATATACAACTGGCCAATGGGCAAAAGAGGCTATGCTCAAAATGACTAGCCATTAGGAACATGCAAATCCAAACCACAAAGAAGTGTCACTTCACACCTACTAGAATGAAGATTATCTAAGATTTGTTGGGGAGCTGACTAGAGAAACCAGAACCCTTCATAGTGCTGCTGTGAGCAGAAAAACAGATTAGGTTCTTCAGCTGGTTCCATACAATCCAGCAAGACCATTCTTCCCTACATTAACCAAAAGGAATGGAAACTGGGCCCACACACAAAATTGCATGTGAGCTTCTATAGCAGCATCCTTCTAAGAGCCAAATGCAAACAACCCAAAGCCCACCCCCTAATGAGGAGGTCAAGACCAGCCTGGTCTACAGAGTAAGTTCCAGGACAGCCAGGGCACGCAGAGAAACACTGTCTGGAAGAACAACAATAACAAAACCTAAAATCTCTTTCAAAGAGATATAAATTATTTAAAAGACAAACCACCCTTAGATCTGAGTTTAAAATTACATCATAAAACAAAATTATAAGGCAAACACTTAAATTTGAACATTAAACATCTGGTGCTATTGAGGTATCACTCATTTCTTATAGGATCACAAAATGGATTACGTTTTAAAATGTTATGAGAATACATACAAAAGTATATGCAGATGAAATCACATGGTAATTGGGAGAGTTGTGGAAGCAGTGGGGATACAGATAAACTAGCCACCAACTGCAACTCTCAAAACAGTAGGACAACAGAATTCATTATGAAATTCCACATTTGCAATGTCTTAATATTCTTTTCTTCCTTTCTTTTTTACAGCATGTATCACAGGCTAACCTACAACTTGATCTATAGATCTGCCTAGCTTCAAACTATTAATCCTCCTGCCTCTGCCTCTTGAGTACTGGGAGGACTGCAATTATAGACATGAGCCACTACCACACACCTGACATGAAAATTCTACTTGAGAATAGAAAAAGGAAATTTCTCCTGCACTTAAAAGTTCATCATGCATCAATCCATTGCAGGGGAATGGGGTCAATTTCAACCATAGTTTTCAAGGAACAATTATAAATACCCTGAGCTTGAACTCAGCATGGAGCACATATCTAGCAGATTGGGGCCTGGGTTTTAACCCCCAGACTCTCCTTTCTAGCCTCAGCTGGTCACTTCTGAGTCAATGACAACATTTAAAAAAGAAATAAATTCCAAATCCAGGATATGGCATGACTATGGAACCTTGACATTGCATGTAGTTACAAACAGCAAAAACAAAGGATCTATGGGAAACACACAGTAGGACAACCCAGATGTAGTGGTATCCAGCCTGGTCTCCTTTTGTATGTGATTTATTTGGCTTTAGACTTAATGAATTTTTTTAAAAACTTCCTGAAACTTTTCTTGAATTTTTATTACATTATTTATTTATTTATTTTGTGTGTATGTGAGCATGCCACACTGTTTCTGTGAAGGTCAGAGGACAACCTGAATGGGTCAGTTCTCTCCTTTGACCACCTGAGGCCCAGGGCCAAATTCAGGTGATCAGCTGGCTGCAAATGCTTGAGCCAGAGTTTTGATACTAAGTGTCTCCTTGAAAGATAAACTGATCAACTTCCTTTGGTTTCTCAATTTCAGTTCCTCCTCTAATGAAAGCAAAAGAATTTCTACTCCCGAAATCTGAGTCTGTGGCAGCCCTTCCATCACATTAAAAGGAAAAGATGAAGACTAAGGGTGTCTCCAGTGAGAGGGTGCAGGGTCAGCATATATGAAGCTCTGCCTTTACCCCTCAGTATCACAAAGAATTTCAGGGCACCTAGTTCCCATCTTTGTCCTGGATGGGCCAAGAAGCAGGTCTGTCCCAGTCCCACAATGAGTCCTGTTAGAGGCTTACCACCAATCAGTGTAGCTCAGTAACCTTTAGTCATTTAAAGTCTAAGAGGCAGATGCCATTGTGTGTCCTCACTTTGCTGAGAATTCCAACTTAGTTTTTCTAACTTACACAACTGTAAAGGCTGGAGAGATTGGCTCAGTCAGTAAAGGGTTTGCTACTTAAGCATGAGGATGTAGAGCCTGGCATGTAGAGCATGTTTCTAAGCCCAGCACTAGTGGACTCGGGCAGAAACAGGTAGATTTCCAAGACTCAAGGGCCAGACAGTCTAGCTGAAATAGTGAGCTCTGGGACCACTCAACAAACAAAGGAGAACGCAATAGAGAAAGACACCCAAAACTGATTTCTGGCCCTCCTACACATATGCACAGGCAAACACACTTGCATATCCACATTCGTAACATATGCTTAATTAATTAATTAAAATTATACAGCATTATGTGATAGAGGCAGGACTTGAACCCAGTATGTACCGCTCCATCCCCTCTTGGTGGATGCCAACTCACATCTTTGCTGTGAAATCATGCAATGTTCAGGAATCTAAAACCTCAATTAGACCCAGTGATTTGCTTTGGCAGATGCAAGTAAAGTACCTCCCCCAGGAAAAGCCTTCCACCAGGACCTCCAGTTCTTATCATAAACCTTGCTCTTGAATAACAAAAAGCATCTAATATCCTTTTTAAAATGCACAGAAATAACTTCAAAGCTAAAAGTAGAGGGTCTCCTTTGCCCTAGCACCCTGACCACCCTGAAACAGATGAATGAAAGACTAGGGACTGGGTGTAAGGACTCTAAAATTCAACTGCACAGTGAGAAAAAAAAAAAAAAAAACATACAAACTATGTGGGAAGGTCCATCCTCCTAAGGGAATACTGTGTCCAGCAAGAGAGTCAACGGCCACCTCGAGGCTTTACTAAGTCACTCTCATCTCTACATACAACACCCAGGAATGACTTAGCACCAAAACTACAGATTCTTCAGAGGAAGGCAAGGATAGAGACACAGACTCAGACTCAAGGGACTAAACTTCAGTGTCACTGAGCACAAAGCCATCCACACCCATCTTCCTCTCACTTCCAGCCTCCCCATTTCCCAGCTGGGCAAAGGATCAGCCCCATACAGCTTCAGCGTTGGGCAAGAAGGGAAGGGTTTCAAGACACAACCAGAGACCTCAAACGATGAGTTGGGGGGGGGGGGGGGGGGTAAAGACATGAAGAGAGCTGGAGCTTGAACCAACAGCCCAAATGCAAAAGGCACATCCAGGACATGGAAGCTGCGCAGCTAATGGGCTGGCTCTTGGGACACAGGTGCGGGGAATAAGAAAGAAGACAAAGCAGCCAGCTTAACACTCCCTCCGGGGACCAGGAGCTGCTGCTCGGTTTGCTGTGGACAGGGGTTCGGGGCCAGCAAACCCAGGGTCTAGAGATGCTCTTTGCCTTCGGAGAAAGAGGAGTCACCAGGGACAAGAGTCCTGGAGCAGAGAATGATTGAAAACCAGGGGCCGGTAACTGGGGCTGCGTCCCAGGAGGGTCACAGAAGAAAGACTGAGGCACGCACTAGAGATCTGAGAATCCAGAGTGTGGAAACCTGTCAAGGGGATCGGCGGGCTGGGACGGTCTGGAAGGGACTGGGGAGCAAGCTCTGCCCAAGGAGTTGCCTGTCAACGAAGGGGCGAAGGGACCGGAGCGCCAGCGCCGGGAAAGTAAGAACGGTGCAGGAGACTCAGGGCCAGGGCTCCGCACCCTGCGAACGACCCCGCGGGAGTCCGCAGGGTGTGGGGACACAGGATCCGGAGCATACGGCTGCAGCGGCGCCACCGGACGGGTGACAGCGGTGGGGCCACCACTCACCACTCATGTTGCCGCTCCCGGGGCCACCGCCTGCCGTGCCGCCGCCGCCGCCGCCGCGTCTGCAGCCGCCGAGCTCCACACAGGCCAGGAGAGCGCGCGCCCCGCCCGCTGGCCCCGCCCCGGAAGTACGGGCCCTCGAAGGGCCCGCCTCCCGACCCGGAACCAAAATACCCTCGCGAGTCCGGCCCTCGGGTGTCGTGGAGGAGACCCGGGATCACGGGATAAACGCATCCCGTCCAGGAGCCAGAAAGGAGACATCAATCCAAATTGAGGTTCGGACAGGGACGCGGGATAAGTGTCCTCGGAGCCTGGAGTAGTGGTGCAAGTTTGTCAAACCAGATCGAGAGTTCACGGTCGCCGGGTGGTGGTGGCACACGCCTTTCGCAGAGGCAGGCGGATCTTTGTGAGTTCCAGGCCAGCCAGACCTACCGTGCTAGTTCCAGCACAGGCTGCAAAGCTACAGAGAAACCCTGTCTCAACACTCTTCTCCCCCCACCCCAAAAAAAAAAGAGTCCAAAGTCATTCTAAAACTACATAGTCAGTTGGATATTGGATTGGGCTACTTGAGACTGTCTTAAAGAGAGAGGAGAAGGCCTGCGGCCTGGCAGCACAGGCTTTAATTCCAGCATTCAAGAGACTGAGCCGGGAGCCTGAGCTGCAGAGTTCAAGAGCTAGGGTGTAGCTTAGTGGTAATGCATGTGCCTTACATGCATGAAGCCATGCATGTGACAACAAAAACAAAAAGTAAGTTAGAGCTATTCTGGGCAACTTATCAAGACTCTCGAAAATAAAAAGTAATAAGGGCTGTTCAGGAGTAAGGGTAGCAAAGCCCTAGGTTCAGTCTCCAGCATCAGAGAGTGAAAAAGATTATCTGTGTGTGTGTGTGTGTGTGTGTGTGTGTGTGTGTGTGTGTGTGTGTGTGTTGGGCCAATGTAACAGGTAAGGAATCCCTGAAGGTTTCTCTTTAAGGCCAAGCCCAGGATAGGTATTTCAGGTGCAAGTCTGTACCAGAAAGAGTTGATTGGAGCACAGGGTGAGCAAGAAGTGGTGTTCAGGAAGATAGAGAAAGCTGTAGAAGCCCTTTTTGAGCAGAGGTTTGCACTTTCCTGCCTACCTCTTGATGGATGGGGGAATGGAAGGCCATTACAAGAATTTAAGCAGAGTGATGACATCAGAATTGTCCTAAAGGCGTGGTGCACACCTTCCTTTAGCCTGAGCACTCAGGAGGCAGAGTCAAGTGGATCTCTGTGAGTTCCAGGCCAGCCTAGTCTACACAGAAAAACGAAAAGAAAAGGAGAGAAGGAACAAATGAACAAAGAAACGAAGGAAGAGAACTTCACAGGATCGGGAGATAGCCCAGTGGTTAACAGCACTGGCTGCTCTTTCAAAAGACCAGGGTTCAATTACCAACACCCACATGGCAGCTCACAACTGTTGTAACTCCAGTTCCAGGAGACAACACCCTCACACAGGCATACATACAAGCAAAAACACTAATGCACATGGAAAAAAATACATAAATTTTTTAAAAACTTGCAATCCTGGTTTGGTAGTATAAACCTTTAGTTCCAGCACTCATAAGATGGAGACAGAAGAAACTTGTGTTATGGCCTGAAGTACTAAGGGCAACACTTGTCTCAAGAAAGAAATCACAAGTGAGGCGGTGATGGCACATGTCTTTAGTCCCAGCACTCTTCAGGCAGCAGATGAATCTCTGTGAGTTGAGAGCCTGGTCTACAGACCTAGTTCCAGGATAGGTTCCAAAGCAATGCAGAGAAACCCTGTCTCAAAAGAGAGAGAGAGAAGAGTTTGAGGCTAACTTATACAGAAAGAGCTGCATTGCTGTAATTTATATATTACCAAGCCTCAAATGTCCTATTACAGTTCCACAGACAAAATAAGACACTAATTCACTGGCTGCTACCCTGCTCTGTCTGATTCGGTTTCTTACTGTCTGTCTGTCCCTCTCTCTCTCTCTCTCTCTCTCTCTCTCTCTCTCTCTCTCTCTCGTGTGTGTGTGTGTGTGTGTGTGTGTGTGTGTGTGTGTGTGTGTGTGTGGTGTAAGCTAGAGGTTGAACCTAGGACCTTGAGTATGGTAGATAAGTAGTCTACCACTAAGCCTCAGCCCTGACAACATCTGTAAGATGGAGGTAATAATTGTCTACCTTCCTTATAGGATTTTGTTTATGTGAAAGGACTTGGAGCAGTCTCTGGCACAATTAAGCCTACATAAGTGATCACACACACACACACCAGGTCCATGTGTATATGTCTGTCGCAATTAGCAATGACGTGTGTGTGTGTGTGTGTGTGTGTGTGTGTGTGTGTGTGTGTGTGTAAGCATTCTGATGTCTACTGGGAACCTAGAGAGTCTGTGCATTACACACAGAAGTGGCCTGGCTTCTCCTCGTTACAGAAAAACACGGGATAGTCTTGCATCCTTTGGCTGTCTATCAGGAGTGTCCAGTTTGTCCTCAAGTACATCTTGTCTGTGGGTGCCTCCATAGAAACACCACACTCTGAAGCCTATGGAGCTTCTTTTTAAAAAGAGAGAGAGAGAGAATCAAAACTTCAATCATAAAACCAAGGAAACTTTCACAGTTAAGCTCCCAATGATAAGCTGGGGAATGAATCTAAAGAGTTTTCAGAATTAAAGGACAAAAAGCTATATTCCCAGCTGATAAACAGTCATCCCAAAGATATTGAAAGCATCAGCTCTCCCTCTAACAAAGTTTCCCAAAATAGCTTTATACCAGACAGGTTCATTCTCTAGAATGTGTTGGTTTCTCCATCTCTGTGACACTTCGAGAAGCAGTTGGCACACTCTTGTCATAGTCACCCGTTTTTGTGGTGACAAGAATGGTTGCACCCTCCTCCATGGCTGGAAGTGGGAAGAAATGGTCAACCTTTGGGTTGCTGTTGACACAGTCCTCACAGGTACAGTCTTCCACTGTGTACTCCAGGCTTCGGGGAAGAACCCTGACGTCATCAACCCTGCTGTGCATCAGGTCAGTATTGGCCTTGTCCAGCGGAATGGATCCTGATGATAAAGAAACAGGCATTCACCTGAAGGTTGCAGTGGTACTGTCATAGCATGCATGGCAGAACACAGAGACCAAGAATGAGTGCATCCTATGCCAAAAGTCACCAAGACCCCACCTGAGATGTGGCTCTGAGGCAGGTTGCTTTTTGAGTATATGGAGTTTTTAAATCTTGTGTTGACCACATTTAAAACTCAGATTTCACATGAGAATGTACCAAACCAGACTCTATACAGACTGCAAACCCTGACAATGGAGGAAGGTGGGGGGGGGGCGTGAAAACAGTGGGCTGGAGTCAAGCCATAGAAGCTTCTGCCTCCAAGCAGGTGATAGGTGTCCTTGTTGATAAAAGCCACAAACTGGATTGCTCCATATATATGTATTACCCACTTGGCTCTTGCAAGTTCTGAGAGTTTGACCTCATCTTACACAGGAAATTAGCACATGTCGTAGCACATCAGAGTCAACCTATGAGTGACATTTCGGAATACAGAAGCAAAAGATGGGCATACTGGCACACACCTGTAATCCCAGCCACTCAGGAGGCTGAGGCAGCATGTTCAAGAAAGACCCTGAATCCAATCCCCAATACCAGAGGAGAAAGAATATAGAAGGGATTTTTACATTTTTTATTAGTGGTGGGAGGAGTCACATCACAGTGTGCTGTGACTGTCAGGACAGCTTATGGAAATGGATCATACTCAGCCTAATCAAGCTTGGCAGCAAGTACTTTTATCCATTGATCATCTCATCAACATTCAAGATCTGTCCTGTGTCCTAGTTTTTCTGACATGACATCATTATGGAGTATTTCTCAGTACATTAGTGTGCACATGCACATGTGTGTCTGTGGGGGGGGGATGGGTTTCTACTCATTTCATTCTATAATGTGTGTGAGTGTTTGCTGCATGTAGGCATGTGTACCATGTATATGCCTGGTGCAGTAGTGTTGGATCCCTTAGAACTGAAGTTATAAAAGGTTGTGAGCTGCCATGTGGTGCTGGAAAGCACATTGTGAGCCTCTGGAAAAGCAGTGAATGCTGTAAGCCATTGAGCCATCTCTCTAGCACATGGCCTCAAACTGTTAGTTACCACACTTCTGCTTGCTTCAGCCTCCAGAGAACTGATACTACAGATGAGGACCATACTCATGGATAATTCATTTTTAAATTAATTTTCTTTGATCACATATGGAAGTCCCCAGTTTGTCTCCAATACACTCTGTGAAGAATGGGTTTTTTAAACCACTTATTGGCCCTGCTGTGGTGGTGTGCACCTTCAATCCCAGCACTCAGGAAACAGAGGCAGATCTGGTCTACAGAGTGAATTCCAGGACAGGCTCCAAAGCTACACAAAGAAACCCTGTCTCAAAAGAAAAAAAAAACAATAAAAGCACTTATTGTGTCTGGCACTGGTGGTGCACAACTTTAATCCCAACACCTAGAAGACAGAGACAGGTGGATCTTTGAGTTCAAGGCCAGCCTGGTCTACAGAGCTGACAGGACAGCCAAAGCTATACAGGGAAATCTCATCTAGAAAAACCAAAAAGAAAAGTACTTATTGTATAACCCTGATGACTTCAGTTCAGATCCTCAGAACCCACATCAAAAATGGGGAGTGGGTGTGACCCATGCCTTTAATTCCAGCACTTGGAGGCAGAGGCAGACAGATCTCTTTGAATTCAAGGCCAGTCTGGTCTACAGAGTGAGTTCCAGGACAGCCAGGACTGTTACATAGTGAAATCCTGTCTGGGGGTTGGGGGGGAGGGATGGGATGTAGCATCCGGCATCTGTAATCCCACTTCTATAGTGAGGTTAGAGGCAGAGACAGGAGACTTAACCCAGAAACTTGAAGACAAGTTATCCTGGAGACACAATCAAAATATAAGAAACAAGAGAGATCCTGCCTCAAAGTGGAAAATCCGTGACCCCTGAAAGTTGTCCTCTGACGTCCACACATGCTGTGACATGCACCTACATGGAGACACACAAAAGATCAAGCTTCTGCTTCCCAAAATTCCACAGTGACTTTATCTTCTAAGGCATCTCTTTCAAGGAGCTGGAGAAATGACTTAGCCACTAAGAGCACTGGTTGCTCTTGCAAAGGACATGGGTTTGATTCCCAGCACTCACTTGGTGACACAACTGTCTGTAACTCCAGTCCCAGGGGACTCTGACTTCTGGGGGGGATGCACACATGTGGTACACAAGCATGAGGAAAAACACGCATATACATAAAATAAAAATAATAAAACATCTCATTTGGAGTTGCTCTAGAAATACACTAAACACAGGGGGTAAAGAACTGCCTGACCTCAGTTCCATGTGGACCTAAAGAAGCTGCTTACAGAAAAACAGCAGAATGGTGGGGAAATGAGAAGCAGATGGTAGGAAGTCCAGAGCTGCAGTTACGTAAGATGACTCTGTAGAGAGCCTGTGACTATGACTGGATGATACCATAGTGCTGCAAATAGCAGAGAGTAGATTCCAACTAGCCTCAGCACCACAAAGAATGCTGAAGGGCCAGGGATGGGGCTCAGCTGGCGCACTCAGCTAGCACCCACAAGAGGCTCTGGATTCTATCCCCAGAACTTCACAAACCAGGCCTGATGGTGCACATCTGTAATGCCAGGCCTGGAGAGATGGCCACATGAGGATCAGAGAGGTTCAAGTTCATCCTGAGCTACATAGTCCAAGACCAGTGTGTGATACATGAGACCCTGTCACCAAAAAACGGTCAGCTATGTAAGGATGTGGACATGTTAATTTGTTTGACTGTAGTCACTGTTTCCCTATGTATCTGTAATCAGAACATTATGTCATGTACTTTTCATATATATATATATATATACCTTTAATCCCAGAGGAAGGTAGATTTATAAACTCAAGACCAGCCTGGTCTACAAATCAAGTTCAGGACAGCCAGAGCTACACAGAGAAATCCTGTCAAATAAGTAAATAAATAAAATCATTCTAGGTCTAAAGAGCTGGCTCAGTGGTTAAGATCTAGTACTACTCCTCCAGAGTTCAGTCCCTAGCAACCACCTGTAATTCCAACTACAGGGAGATCTAATGCTCTATACTGCCATCCAGAGGCACTGTACTTACATGCACAAAGCCACTCTCAGACATGCACAAATTCACTCAACTTTAAAAACAGTCAAAGTTCATTCTCTTGTTTTCCGGACCACGTGGAAGCCAGAAGAGTGAGTGAATTAGCCACTACTCTTACTGAACTAGAAAGCAATGGAGTAGATGGTTTGCAGTGTGTGCATAGAAAACAAATGCATGAAAAAGCAGGGCAAGGCCTCAGAAGATGGCTCAGTGGCATAAGAACACTCAAGCATGAGTGAGGGCCTGAGTTTCAATCTCTAACACTCTGGTAACAAGCACATGCCTGTAGCCTCAGCATGTAACTTCCCCATGGCAGAAATGGGAGCTAGATACCACAGCTGTAACAGCATGCTTCTGATCCACTGAGAGACACTGTCTTGTGGCAACAAGGTGAAGAACAATAGAGAAAGGACACCTGATGTCCTGCTCTAACCTCATGAGCAAGTGCATATTCATAGTCATGCACCACACGCACCAAAAGAAAAAAAAAAAAGGTAATAACAAAAGATACAGAACAACGGCTGCTGTATTTCTTCAAAATCAGGTCATGGGGAACAGTGCTATAAAAGTATTTTTAGCCTAAGAGGCTCTCAGGTGGAGCATTAACTTCTCTGAGACTGGTACTCTGTTGCCTAATAATTATTCTTGAGATGGTTAGTGAATCAGGAGCAACTGGTTATTCATTTTTAGCATTTGGGGCAGCAAAATGTTCACATGCAAACAGTGCTGCTTATACTTATATTAAAAACATGACCAGGGATCTTGAGAGTACCTGGCTGTTGGTGTGGCATAATAGGGTATCTCATCAGTGAACTAACTCCAGTCAAAGACACTTACCAAGCAAGCCTCAAGAGCAATTACCAAGAGAAGAACTGGGGGGCATTAAAAGACCTGCAAAGTAGCTGTTAATGCCAGGATTTCTCTGTTGTTTGTTTGTTTGGGAGGGCATTGGCAGTAGTTTTTTTATATTTTGTTTTGAGACATGGTCTCATGTAACCCAAGCTGACTAAAACTCTATAAGTAGCTGAAGACGACCTTGGCCTTGACCTCTTTGATCCTCCTTCCTGCCCTACCCAGGTGCTAAGATAACATGTGCCCCCATACCCAGTTCAAAATTTCAACTATCCACTAACACGTTTGAAAGTGCTGAAGCCAAAAAAAAGTCGTTAAAAAAAGAAAAGGAAATGAAACTTGGAAGAGCCACCCCTACAGAAATAGATTTCAGAGTCACCATCAAACTGACCTGGGTTTTGAAGTTTGTCCTTCAGTGCTTCAGAGTTCATCTTCCTCAGCAAGAATGTGAGTGCAAAGAGTGCCAAAGAAACAATCAAGGTCAAACCCAAGAAGGTCCAGAGAACAATATGCATTCCTTTCATTGAACCTGTTACACCTTTATTAAAAAGAACGTCACAGAGATCAGTACTCACACCAAATATGAATTTTCTAACACTCAACTCCCCTACTGCATATCCATGAACACCTTGCTTTGGGGACTGTTTATTGAGACAAAGTCTCATGTAGCTCAGGTAGGCCTTGGCTATGGATGAATCCACCTCCTATGATAATGCTGGGATTGCAGATCTGCAGCAACATGACAATAAACCCTGCTGTGTACAGAACCTAGGGCTGTGTGTGCCAGCCAGGCACTCTACCAACTCAAAATACAGCTTGGCTCCTTTTGTTGTTTTTTAAATAGGATCTCAATGTAGCCCAAGCTGCCCTGGAATTCACTATATAGTCTCAAATTTGTGTGGTTCGAGACACCTTGGGGTTGCTGAATAACTTTTTCACAGGGCTCACATATCGGATATTGACATTATGACCCATAACAGTAGCAAAATTACAGTTGTGAAGTAGCAACAAAACAATTTTATGGTTGGGAGCCACCACAACATGAGGAACTGTATTAAAAGGTTGAAGCATTGGGAAGGCTGAGCGAGAACGGCTGCTCTGGAGGCTTATATTCCCCTCCCTGGCTTCACCAACACTTAATTTCTAAATGTCATTGAGTTAAGAGCTGACGAAATCTAAATCAATGCTTGATTTCTGGTTTTTACTCAGGAAAACAAAACCAAAAAATCTCCCCAGCTTCCCTGGTAGATAAATAAGAGCTACCAAGAATGTCTCTCAATAAAAAGCAGCTATTGAAGAGTGTCACTTACTTGGATTACAGTAAGGCTGACAGGGTACAGGCGGGTTGGAACATCGAAGGCGGCAAGGTTTGCAAGCGTGCAGCAGACTGTCAAAATATTCACTGTGGAGGCACTGCCGAGCCATGTGGGACTTGATCACTGAAAGAAATGGAAACAGCAGACAGAACAGAACAGAGAACAAATTCTCAGCAAGAGTTCCCTGTTGACAGCGGTCAGCGATGTGGAGGGGGAAAGAATGACCCTGACCTTGTTGGCTCTTAGGAGGGCTGAAAGTATTGGGACAGAGGATTTGAATACCTCTCTGGGTCTCTGCTTCTAAGAGGCTTGGGTGGGGCAGTGAGGGGGTATATTACAAAAACCTTACCTGAAACAGAAACTGCCTATTTATAGAGGAAATTTCTTGCCCAGGTGACAATTGCACAATGTGGACTAGCCTAGGTCACCAAGCAGAAAGTGCAGTAGCCATTTATGGACCATCTACTTGTGTGTGATAGGAGATAGGTAAGGTGAGGGCTGTGTTTCTTACACACTTAAAGCCAACAGGGAAGGCAGACTATAGTCTGTAACTGGAAGGTAGTAGCAGCTGACACAGGGAAGACAGTGGGAGGAACCAATCAAATATGACTACCAGTTGTGCTTTGGCAGCTGGGGTTAAAGCAAGAGGCTTAAAAGAAGATTGTGGGCATTTTGTCATGACAATAAAATCCATCCTACTTGAGCATGGTGGTGCACACCTTTAATCCCAGACCTCTGGAGGAGAGGCAGACAAATCTCTGTAAGTTTGAGGCAAGCCTCATATACCAGGACTACATAGAGAGTAAAACAGCAATCCAGTATACAGCCATGAAAAGAAATGGGCCTTTACCACCTCCAAGAAAATGCTTACAGACTTGAAGTGATGACTTATGGATATACATCATATCCTTTATGATCCTGCAAAGTCAGGGTTAAGGATTCAAGATTGAGTGTCCTTTTGCCACAAGCCTAAAATCCCACCGTTTATAAGTCTGAGGCAAGAGGGTCTTAAGTGGAAAGCCAGCCTGGGCTACATATCAAAATCCTGTCTCAAAAATAAACCTTTTAATTGAAGCTGGGCATGGTAGCATGTACCTATAGTCACAGCCACCTGGGATGTAGAAGCATTAGGTAGTGAATTCAAGGCCTATCTGAACTACACTGTAGCAAATTTGTCATAAAACTATATGACTAGGGGCTGAAGAAATGGTTCAACAGTCACACTGGCTGTTCTTCCAAAGGACCTGGGATTGATTTCTAGTACCTACATGGAGGTTCACAACCATCTATAACTCCAGTTCCAGGAGAATCCAACGCACTTGTCTGGCCTCCATGGGCACCAGGCACACACATAGTGCACATGTGGGCAAAACACCTATACACATAAAGTAAAAATAAATATATTTTTAAAAATAAATGATTGGGCTGGGCAGTGGTGACACATGCCTTTAATCACAGCACTAGGGAGGCAAAGGCAAGAGGATCTCTGTGAGTTTGAAGTCAACCAGTTTACAGAGACCAGGACAGGCAAGGCTGGGAAAACCCAAATAAATAAATACATAATTGGATACATATCAATACCTGGAAGGGTAACATTTGGGATGGAATATTATATATTAAGCCTAGAAAGATGACCTTGAAAGACCAAAAAGTAATGTTATTGATGGACTAACCTGGAAACCAATATCGGTTCCTTGGAATTTGCTAGCTTCCTCTCATCAGGCCCTGAGATGACAAGAATTCACTCTGCCCCTCCTTTCTGCCCCTCCTTTCCTGTGAGTCAGCAGGTGGTAAATAGGGTCCTAAGGAAACAAAGAGATAGCTGCAACTCTGGTTTGCCCAGACAAAATTAATTAGCACACCCTGAGGCCCTAAGGTCTGTTGACCCTAATAGCAGACCAACCGGCCTCAAAGGGTCAGGTATTCAATTGGCAGAGGGTTCCACCCCATCCCTAAGCTTGTGGGTTTGCCTTTAAAAACACCTGGGCCCAGGGGAGGGGGCTTCTCTCTAGCCTGCGTGCTGGAGGAGCCCGTTTGCGCAAACATTTCCTGTTCATTAAAGCCTCTTGCATTTTACAGCAACTGGACTGGACATTGAGTTCTTGGGGTATCGACCGAACCTGGAAGACTCCTCATTCTGAGGGTCTTACAACCTGATGAGATGCAATCATGAGAAGCAGAATTGGAATCCCAGCACCCACATATCAAGTTAGCTGTCTGATATACATTATAGCTCCATCTGGGACCTATGGGTTTACACACAGGGTGAGAAAACACAAGCCTCAGCTAGGGAGAGTTCTTGTCGCAAAGGAACAGTTAAGAGTCATACCTGTCCTGTGGTACACATAGGTACATTCACCTGCATACACGTGCATAAACAGAGACATATACAAATTAGATACATAAATCTTTTTAAGTTTAAATGTAAATATGTCATAGTAGCACAAGTCTTTAATCCCAGCATTCAGGAGACAGACAAGCAGATCTTTGTGAGTTCAAGGCCACACTGGCCTACATATTAAGTTCTAGGATAGCCACGGTTATGTCTCAAAAAAAACTATTACTACTAAATAATAATATAGTGTCATCAATTTTAATACATTTCTACAAGCCAAAAAAAATATGTCTTCCATGGTTGACCTTTTTTTCCCTTTTTGGAGATAGGGTTTCTTTGTGTAACAGCCCTGGCTGTCTCAGAACCACGCTGTAGACGAGGCTGGTTTCGAACTCAAAGAAATCCACCTGCCTCTGCCTCCCAAGTACTGGGATTAAAGGTGTGCACCACCACATCCCCAGACAGTTTGTAAAATACTAACTAGTATTTAGGAAAATTGTTAGTGTTTCTGATACCTAAAAATGATCATAGCCTTTGATGTGTCTCAGCTGTGCAGAGAGGCTGCTGAGTGTTCTGCCTGATCAGCCTCTGATGGGCAGTGCTCAAGAGGGAAAGAAGGACAAAAGACAGACAGACAGGATAGACAGGAAACAGACAGACTGTTAGTATTCAATCATCGACACTGGCCTGCCCTTAGGGTCTTGACAGGATATGTCCTCAGCTGTAGTCACTAAGGGCACTTCCTGTGTACATTTGATACATTCCCTTATAAAATGTGGGCCTTGTCCACCTCCCATCTCTTTCTCTGTCTTCTGCTACTCTTGTCCCAAAGGACCAGTCTCTACCCCCATTTTCTGCTCCCTTCTCTGTCCCCTTTTCTGCCCCTTTTCTATCCTCTTCCAATAAACCTTCTATATGAGCCCTATTATATGGTGTGACTCCTTCCCACCAGTTTTTAAATTATAACACAGGCTGGATAGACAGAAGACAAATGGACCAGATAGGCTCGGGAAGAGCTTCTTCCTTTGAGCTTCTTCCTTTTACTTAACTGGAATCACTTTGTTTAGTTTTTGTTTGTTTGTTTGGTTGATTGGTTGGTTGGTTGGTTCTGGGTTTTTTGGTCTTTTTTTTGTTTTGTTTTTTGTTTTTTTTGTTTTTTTGTTTTTTTTTTTTTTCAGACAGAGTTTCTCTGTGTAGCCCTGGCCAATCAGTCATGAAATGCAACATAGACATTAAGGATGGGAGGTGTGGTTAGTGTAAGGCACATCAGTAATTGAAAGATTTAAGGACACTAAACATTGTGAACCATATTCTCTGCTCTGTTTACAGTCATACTAACTCCATCTAGCCAGACAAATCAAGTTTTCAACTGGAAAGATGACAAGTTCCCTCAGGGAAGGGGAGAGAAGCCAGTGTAGGAAAAAGACTTCCTTCCACTGAATGGTACTATCTAAATCATCAATTCAAAAAAAATTGATACATACCTTATGTTCCTCAGGCTGACCTCAAACTTACTGTGTAGCTAAGTCTAACCTTGGACTTCTGATCCTCCTGCCTTTACCTCCAAAGTACTTGAATTACAGGCCATGTACTACTGTGCCCAGCTTTATGTGTGGCTTCATGAATTGGAGGCACGCACTCTACCAACTGGGCTGCATACTTACCCCTAACAATTATTTTTATATTTACTTGTGGGAGGGGGGCATATGGTGTGTGCCTGTAGAGACCAAAGGAAGCCTGCTAAATGTGGGTCCTCAGCAAGACCAGTTAGTATTCTTAACTGCTAAGCCATTTCTCCAGCCCAGTTGACACCAGCAGACTTTTCAATTGCTTTTCCACCTCATGCTTTTGTTCTTTTGAGGTGTGTTTCACAATCAAACCCAAAGCTGGAAGGTAAAGCCAGTTTCTGTAGCCAGCTTTCTCCAGGAATCCTCTGCCTCCCAAGGCTGGAAATACAGGCATACAGAGCAAGGGCTTTAAACACTGGGCACTCTTCCCAGACATTACCATCTAATACTCCCATTCCCACCTCCCAGGTGTATTATGTTTGTTTTGTTTTGTTTTGTTTTTCCAGACAAGTTCTTTGTGTAGCCCTCTGGCTATCCTGGAATTCACTCTGTAGACCAGGCTGTCCTGAAACTCAGAGATCTACCTTCCTCTACCACCCAACAGCTGGGATTAAAGGTGTGCCATCACTGCCCAGCTACCATACCAGTTTTATGTAGTGCTGGAGACTGAACCCAGGCCAAACTAAATGGTAAGAATTAAGCAACTCTAGCAACTAAGCTCAGGCCCAGCCCTGTTTTATTTTCCTCTGTCTGTCTGTTTGACTGTGAATGCTGAGCATGAAATTGAGGGCCTATGCAAATTAGGCAAACATTATTCCATTGGGCTCCATTCCCAGCCCAGTGTGAGGTTCTTCCCACCCAGTTCCCCTCCTTTGCCTCCTCACTGGTGTTAGACTTGCATTGAGATCTGAAGACGATTTCCCCTTCAGTGCCTCCTTCCCTTCATACTTCTTGGCTATTTCCTTCCCATAAACCCACAACAGTCCAACTGCATCAGGCAACCACTCCTTGGAGAACCATAGTGACACTGGAATCTCTTACACCTTCACTCTTTCTACTTTCCACTTTAGCCTGTGTTTTCTCCTTAATGGCATTTTCAGGAGTCCACATACTTTATGCGTTACTTTATACTTTTCTTTGTTAGAGACCAGGTTTCACTGTGTAGCTAGTCTCAAATTCTCTCTGTAGCCTGACTGATAAACCTCAGGCTCCAAAATTTAAGTTTAGGCCTGTGCC